GATTAAAAAATGAAATAAAAATAATAATAAATTAATTTAAAAATTAATAAATTAATTATTAAAATCTAATCAATAATATGAGTAAAACTCATAATTAAAAATAATTTTAGATAGGACTTAAAAATCTCAAAAATAAGGAATAAAAATAGCAATAAAAATAAATTCTTAATAATAAATAATTTAAAATTTAATTAGTAATATAATTAAAATAATAATTAAAAATAATTTAAAATATTCATTAAAAATCTCAATTAAAATTTGTTACAAGTAATAAATTATTAATTTTACATATAAGTAATAATAGAAATAAAATTCATCATAAAAAGTAAATTAAAATAGTAATTAAAAAAATCTCAATTACAAATAAGGATTAAAAACCATAATAAAAAATAAATTAATAATAAAGAATTAATTTAAAGTGAAATAATGAGTAAAATTCATCATTAAAACCAATTTAAAATAATAATTTTAAAAAATTAAAATGCAATTAATAATGTAATTAAAATTCATAATTAAAAATAATTTAAAATAGTAATTAAAAAAAACCTCAGTTAAAAATAAGGATTAAAAATCATAATAACAAAATAACAATAATTAATTTAAAATATAACCAGTAATAAAATTAAAATTTATAATGGAAAACAATTCAATATAAATAAATCCAATAAAATAAAATAAATTAAATAAAAGTCAAAATAAATAAAATTAATAAAATAAAATATGACTATAAATAAATAAAATTAATAAAATAAAATATGACCATAAATAAATAAAATTCATTATAAATAAAACAAGTTAAATGTGACTATAAATAAATAAAATTCAATATAAATAAAACCAATAAAATAAAATATAAATGCATAAAATTCCATATAAATAAAATAAATAAAATAAAATACGACTAAAAAGAAATAAAATTCAATAAAAATGAAACAAATAAAATGAAATATAAATACATAAATTTCAATATAAATAAAATAAAATAAAATAAAACAAAATACGACTATAAATAAATAAATTTCAATATAAATAAAACCAATAAAATAAAATTTAAATCCATAAAATTCAATATAAATAAAATAAAATGAAATACAACTATAAATAAATAAAATTCAATATAAATAAATAAAATAAAATATAACTATAAAAAATAAATTTCGATGTAAATAAAACCAATAAAATAAAATATAGCTATAAATAAATAAATTTCAATGTAAATAAAACAATTAAAATGAAATATAAATCCACAAAATTCAATATAAATGAAATAAAATAAATTAAAATGCATCTATAAATAAATAAAATTCAATATACATAAAATAAATAAAATAAAATATGACTTTGAATAAATAAAATTAAACAAAACTAACTAATAAAACATAATATATAAAATTCAATATAAATTAACCAAATAAAATATAATTCCATAAAATTCTATACAAATAAAATAAATTAAATTAAATTAAATTAAATTAAAATAAAATAAAATAAAATAAAATAAAATAAAATAAAATAAAATGTAACTCGAAATAAATAAACTTCAATATAAAGCAATTAAATTAATAAACCCCCATTAAAATAAAATTAAATGAAATTAAATTAAAAATGACGAAGCTCCTCGGGACGAAAAGTCCCTGAACGGGGCCGAAATGACCCAAATCGGCCCCTTTTCCGCCCATTTTCTGGGCCAGGCCCCGCCCCCTTTTCGGGGCCGACCCCGCCCCCTTTGGGACTTCCCCCAAAGCCCCCGAGAGCCCCCAAAAGGCCTTTTTTTGGCCCAGAACTGTTTCGCTCTCGGGGTTTTCGCAGCAGCTGCAGCTTTCGGGGCCCCTCCCCCTCCCCCTCGGGGCTTTCGGGGCCAAAAGTCGAGATTTAGGGCAAAAAATGAGTGGAAGGTGGAGATTTTGTGAAGGAGCCGCGTCCGGGGCCGGAATCGGGGCCTCGGTCCCCTCCTGGGGCTGGATCGGCCCCAAATCCCCACCTTTGACCCCAAATCCCAACCCTTGGCCCCAATTCCTGACCTTCGGCCCCAATTCCCCACCTTTGACCCCAAATCCCGACCTTCGGCCCCAATTCCCCACCTTTGACCTCAAATCCTGACCTTTGGCCCCAATTCCCCACCTTTGACCCCAAATCCCGACCTTCGGCCCCAATTCCCCACCTTTGGCCCCAAATCCTGACCTTCGGCCCCAATTCCTGACCTTTGGTCCCAAATCCCGACCTTTGGCCCCAAATCCTGACCTTCGGCCCCAATTCCCCACCTTTGGCCCCAAATCCCCACCTTTGGCCCCAATTCCCCACCTTCGGCCCCAAATTCCCGACCTTTGGCCCCAAATCCCCACCTTTGACCCCAAATCCGGACCTTCGGCCCCAATTCCCCACCTTCGGCCCCAATTCCCGACCTTCGGCCCCAATTCCCGACCTTTGGCCCCAATTCCTGACCTTTGGCCCCAATTCCTGACCTTTGGCCCTAATTCCCCACCTTTGGCCCCAAATCCCGACCTTTGGCCCCAATTCCCGACCTTTGGCCCCAATTCCCCACCTTTGGCCCTAATTCCCGACCTTTGGTCCCAAATCCCGACTCTTGGCCCCAAATCTGGAATATTTTGGACCCTGAACTCGACTTTGGCCCTCAAATCTTGACCATTGACCCCAAATCTCAACATTTGACTCAAATCTCGACCACTGACCCCAAATCTCAACCATTGACCCCAAATCTCTGCCCTCTGCCCCAACTCTCAACCCTTTCCCAAAAACCTTGGGCAGTGCTGGGTTTGGGCCAATGGGTTGGGGTCAAGGGTTGAGGTTTGGGGTCAACGCTTGAGATTTGGGGTCGATGGTTGAGGTTTGGGGTAAAAAGTTGAGATTTGGGGTCGATGGTTGAGGTTTGGGGTCAACAGTTGAGATTTGGGGTCAACAGTTGAGATTTGGGGTCAACGGTTGAGATTTGGGGTCAGTGGTCAAGATTTGGGTCAATGGTTGAGATTTGGGGTCAATGATTGAGATTTGGGGTCAACGGTTAAGATTTGGGGTCAACGGTTGAGATTTGGGGTCAACAGTTGAGATTTGGGGTCAACGGTTGAGATTTGGGGTCAATGGTTGAGATTTGGGGTCAGTGGTTGAGATTTGGGGTCAATGGTTGAGATTTGGGGTCAATGGTTGAGAATTGCGGTCCATGGTTGAGATTTGGGGTCAACGGTTGAGATTTGGGGTCAACAGCTGAGATTTGGGGTCAAGGGTTGAGATTTGGGGTCAGTGGTCGAAACTTGGAATGAATGGTCAAGATCTGGGTCAACAACTGAGATTTGGGGTCAACGGTTGAGATTCCAGGCCCCCGGGGGAGTCCCTGCGGCTCCTCTGCCGCGCCTCCGGCTTCACCTTCGCCGACTACACCATGTACTGGGTGCGCCAGAGCCCCGGGAAGGGGCTGGAGTGGGTCGCAAGTATCCGCAAGGAAGGTTGGACCTACTACCCGCCGTCGGTGCGGGACCGGTTCACCATGGCCAGGGACAACGGGCAGAGCTCGGTGACGCTGCAGATGAACAACCTCAGGGAGGAGGATTCCGGCACCTATTTCTGCGCCAGAAGTGTTGGTGCTCATGGTTACGGTGTTTATGGTATCGACCCCCTTGTTGGGGTCCCCACCTGTCCCCAAACCCTCCCCCCAAACCTCCACCCTTCACACCCAGCTCTCGGTCATCGGTCCCTCCATGGGTTGGTTTTGCCCCAAATCTCGACCTTTGGCCCCAAACCCCAACCGTCGACCGAACCCGTTGGCCCAAACTGAACATTGCCCAAGGCTTTTGGCAAATGGGCAAGATCTGGGGCAGAGGGCAGGGATTTGGGGTCAACAGTCAAGGTTTGGGGCCAATGCTCAAGATTTGGGTCAACTGTTGAAATTTGGCGCACCCAGCCCATGTGGTAGCTGGCGAAGGTGAAGCCGGAGGTTGTGCAGGGACTCCCCCGGGGCCTTGAGGTCCCCACATCTCCCCACGCCCCCAATCTTTCCCCCAAACCTCAGCTCTTGGCCCCAGTCCCTCCTTGCTGCTCCCAAATCCCAACTCTTGGTGCCCCGACACCCAACCGGCCGCTCCAACGGGGACCGGGGGGGGCTGGCTCTGACCCCAAACTCAACTGGATGAACCTCGAGGGTCAACCATTGACTGCAAAGCTGAATGTCACTGCCCCAAACTATGAAAAGGTCAAGGTTGGGGTCAATGGTTAAGATTTGGGGTCAACAGTTAACATTTGGGGTCAACGGTTGATATTTGGGTTCAACAGCTGACATTTGGGGTTAAACGGTGGAGGTTTGGGTCAATGGTTGAGATTTTAGTCAATGGACGAGATTTGGGGTCAACGGTTGAGATTTGGGGCCAACGGTTGAGATTTGGGGCCAACGGTTGAGATTCCAGGCCCCGGGGGAGTCCCTGCGGCTCCTCTGCCGCGCCTCCGGCTTCACCTTCGCCAACTACCCCATGTTCTGGGTGCGCCAGAGCCCCGGGAAGGGGCTGGAGTGGGTCGCTGGGATCAGTGCTGGTGGTGGTTACACCACTTACGCGCCGTCGGTGCGGGGCCGGTTCACCATGGCCAGGGACAACGGGCAGAGCTCGGTGACGCTGCAGATGAACAACCTCAGGGAGGAGGATTCCAGCACCTATTTCTGCGCCAGACGTTTCGATGGTGGAAAAGGTGATTCTGCTGATGGTACCGACCCCCTTGACCCAAAGCATTGGCCCAAACCCAGCACAGCCCAAGGATTTTGGGAAAGGGTCAAGATTGGGGGCAGAGGGCAGAGATTTGGGGTCAGTGGTTGAGATTTGGGGTCAACGGTTGAGATTTGGGGTCAACGGTTGAGATTTGGGGTCAACGGTTGAGATTTGGGGTCAACGGTTGAGATTTGGGGTCAGTGGTTCAGATTTGGGGTCAGTGGTTCAGATTTGGGTCAACGGTTGAGATTTGGGTCAATGCTCGCGATTTTGGGTCAACGGTTGTGATCCGGGTCAAAAGACTGGAGGTTTGGGGGGAGGGTCTGGCCTTTGGGGACACGTGGGGACCCCAACAAGGGCGTCGATACCATCGCCATTATTCGAACCACCAACAGCACTTTTGGCGCAGAAATAGGTGCTGGAATCCTCCTCCCTGAGGTTGTTCATCTGCAGCGTCACCGAGCTCTGCCCGTTGTCCCTGGCGATGGTGAACCGGCCCTGCACCGACGGCGCGTAGCCGGTGGTACCACCATCGTTCCTGATCCCAGCGACCCACTCCAGCCCCTTCCCGGGGCTCTGGCGCACCCAGTTCATGTCGTAGCTGCCGAAGGTGAAGCCGGAGGGCCGGGACCCTGGTGGAGTCCGGGGGTGACCTCAAGGCCCCGGGGGAGTCCCTGCGGCTCCTCTGCCGCGCCTCCGGCTTCACCTTCGCCAACTACCCCATGTTCTGGGTGCGCCAGAGCCCCGGGAAGGGGCTGGAATGGGTCGCTGGGATCACCAGCACTGGTGGTACCACCTACTACGCGCCGTCGGTGAAGGGCCGGTTCACCATGGCCAGGGACGCTGCTGCCCCAAATCTCACCTGTTGACCCCAAACCTCAAGCACTGAGCCAAGCCGTTCGTCCAAAGCCAGCGTCGCCCAAGGCTTTTGGGAAAGGGTCAAAATTTGGGGCCGGGGGCGGAGATTTGGCACCAACGGTTGAGATTTTGAGTCGACGTTTGCGATTTGGGGTATTCTGGTGAAATTTGTGGTCAACGACTGAGATTTGTGACCAACGGTCTTTAGTTGGGTCAACGGTTGAGATTTGGGATCAACAGTGGAGTGTTGGGGGGAACGGTTGAGGTTTGGGGCAAAGAGTTTGGGGTTTGGGGCCAAAGGTTGAGAATTGGGGCGAAACCAGCCCAAGGTCGGGACCAACGACCGAGAGTTGGGTGAGAAGGGTGGAGGTTTGGGGGGAGGGTCTGGGGTTTGGGGACAGGTGGGGACCCACCAGAGGGGTCGATACCACCAGCACCAGCACCACCAGCATCAGCACTTCTGGCGCAGAAATAGGTGCTGGAATCCTCCTCCCTGAGGTTGTTCATCTGCAGCGTCACCGAGCTCTGCCCGTTGTCCCTGGCCATGGTGAACCGGCCCTGCACCGACGGCGCGTAGTAGGTGTTGGCACCATCACTCTGGATCCCAGCGACGAATTCCAGCCCCTTCCCGGGGCTCTGGCGCACCCAGAACATGGAGTAGCTGCCGAAGGTGAAGCCGGAGGCGCGGCAGAGGAGCCTCAGGGACTCCCCCGGGGCCTTGAGGTCACCCCCGGACTCCACCAGGGTCACGGCCACCCGCAGCCCTGCGGGGGGAGAAAAGGGAATATTGGGGTGAGCCGGGGGGTCAAGACCCACCTGGGAGAGCTGAGACCCTGCCAGGGACTGGCTCTGTCCCAAAACTCAACTGGTTCCACACCAAGTGTCACCCATCGGCCCCAGACCTAAATCTTCTTGCCCAAAATTAAACAAAAGGTCAAGGTTGGGGTCCATGGTTGAGATTTGGTGTCAACAGTTGAGATTTGGGGTCACTGGTTGACGTTTGGTGTCAACGGTTGAGTTTTGGGTCAATGGTTGAGATTTGGAACCAACGGTTGAGGTTCAAGGCCCTGGGGGAGTCCCTGCGGCTCCTCTGCCGCGCCTCCGACTTCACCTTCGGCAGCTACTCCATGTTCTGGGTGCGCCAGAGCCCCGGGAAGGGGCTGGAGTGGGTCGCTGGGATCTGGAGCAATGGTGCTGGCACCGGGTACGCGCCGTCGGTGTGGGGCCGGTTCACCATGGCCAGGGACAACGGGCAGAGCTCGGTGACGCTGCAGATGAACAACCTCAGGGAGGAGGATTCCAACACCTATTTCTGCGGCAAATGTGACAGTGCTGGTGCTGCTGGTGCTGAAGGTATCGACCCCCTTGTTGGGGTCCCCACCTGTCCCCAAACCCCAGACCCTCCCCCCAAACCTCCACCCTTCGCACCCAGCTCTCGGTCGCTGGTCACTCCATGGGCTGGTTTTGCCCCAGTTCTCGACCTTTGACGCCAAATGTCAACCGTTGACCCGAAATATCAACCGTCGATACCATGACCCAAACCACCACCAGCAACACCAGTTTTGGCGCAGAAATAGGTGTTGGAATCCTCCTCCCTGAGGTTGTTCATCTGCAGCGTCACCGTGGCCTGGTCGTTGTCCCTGGCCATGGTGAACCGGCCCCGCACCGACGGCGCGTAGTCGGTGTCACCATCAGTGTCGATCCCACTGACCCACTCCAGCCCCTTCCCGGGGCTCTGGCGCACCCAGAACATGTGGTAGTTGGCGAAGGTGAAGCCGGAGGCGCGGCAGAGGAGCCGCAGGGACTCCCCCGGGGCCTTGAGGTCACCCCCGGACTCCACCAGGGTCACGGCCCTCCGGCTTCACCTTCGGCAGCTACTCCATGTTCTGGGTGCGCCAGAGCCCCGGGAAGGGGCTGGAATGGGTCGCTGGGATCAACCCTAGTGGTGGTTACACCGGGTACGCGCCGTCGGTGCGGGGCCGGTTCACCATGGCCAGGGACAACGGGCAGAGCTCGGTGACGCTGCCGATGAACAACCTCAGGGAGGAGGATTCCGGCACCTATTTCTGCACCAAAAGTGCTGGTTGGGGTGGTTATCATATTGATGGTATCGACCCCCCTTGTTGGGGTCCCCACCTGTCCCCAAACCCCAGACCCTCCCCCCAAACC